TTTTTTTACTCCTGGTTCAGGAAAGCAATTAAACTAATCTTATCCCTGAGGATATTGCAGCCTGGCTCCTGTAAAACCAACATGTTGTAGAAAAGTCACAGAATCACTTAATCTAGGGGCAAATGGAGAAAGTAAATCATATCAGATATTTGTAGTTCTAAGTTTTTCACTTTCTGTCTTTTCTGTGTGATTTTTTCTCAAAATAAACTTTAAAGTGAACATAAAGCAATAGAATCATACACATATTATGCTTATTTTTAACAAAAAAGTGTTCTTGCTAAGCTAACTTGTGGCCTCTAAAAGCATAGATATTGTATGGCTAAAACATGGGTTTGTAGGAGGGCATGAAGCATGAATGAAAAAGGGTGGATGGCTAATGAAGCATCAAGAAACTAATTCTGCAGCTTTATGCAACTTTTTTAAGGAAATCCACCTTTTAAACATGTTGCTGTGTTCTTCCATTTACCGTGAGGTTGATAAATGAAATAATCTTTTCACAAGCCTCATTTAATTTATGATACTTAAACAAAAGACTGAACTCAGAATCACACTAAAACAATTAACATCAGACCAGAAGACTCAATGATAAAGCATTAAAGTCGAGGAAAACATTGTGTCTTATGACACACTGAAGCAGACTGCCGTATAACAGTCAACTACTGTAATTATGATCCTGTGTTTTGTTGGATTCATTGGCAGGAAAGACTGATGGACTAGCCTGGTTCTTTTGCTGTACTTCTTACAATAGAGAGTGTGAATTAGAAGAGTCTGGCTGAGGCCCTGTTCTGTAAGATGATGAACTCTCACCATGAGAGAATTTTGTCTGTGAGTAGAGCACACGTTTTCATTCAAGTCTTGTAAAAACTTTTGTCATTATGATTGTCACTTTGCATCAGCTGGACCGGCTGCCCTGCAGTTCAAACCTTTTTCAATGTTATTTGTTTAATGGATTGGATCCTTGTCTTCTCCCATGCTGTAATTTCTTGTCTCACAGCTTTCCCTTTCAAAGCATTTTTTAAACAAAGGGGCTTCTTAAAACTACAATTATTATTATTTTCATCATTCTTTTGTTTATTATTACTACCATATCCATAATAAAGCCATCACATTGGACTCTCTGACTTTCTATCATATGCCTAAAAGTGTGCAATCATAGATAGAAAATACTTGACTCATCCTCCGCTGGAGACATTCACATAGTCCTGTAGTTCCACATTTACACATTTACAATCATAGTAGATTAGGAAAATAAAATTGAAATTAATTTAAATGAATTTATTACACAAATCATGATTTTTTTGTGTGTATTTTCTTCATAATACATCCATATTATTTTTTTATTGTTAAATGATGGGAGGAAATAATGTTGTCTTTATAAGCTATTGAATATCTAAGATGGATATGTTTTTTATTTATCTATCTTTCTACAATGAGGGGTAGAAGAAAACATGAAAAACGTTTAAAGCACTTTTTCCCATTTATCTAATCTCTATATTCTTAAAGTCAGTGGAACCCATAATATTGCGTGATGGCACACCATAATGGAGGTCTCGCATGATGTCATAATGAAAGAGAGGAGGGGGGAGGTACCACTTGGTAAATAATAAATCTGTTGTAAGATAGCTCAAAGTTTCAGACAGAGAGCTGCCTGCTCTGCCTTTTCTTCAGGATGATGGAGGATCAGGACAGTGTGAGACTCTGCTTCCCAGAACTCCTCAACAGCTCTTGCAGAAAGCCAACTCTCCCTTGGTCTGAACTTGTGCTTCTCAACCTTCTGTGGTCGTTCATCTCTCTGATAACTGCAGTTCTCAACCTGCTGGTGATCATCTCAGTCTGCCATTTCAGGTGTCTTCCTATTGAACAATGTGCCTCTCAGTCTCCCATAATGATATCTTTTTGTTGTTATATCTCGCTCTATTTTAAAACATGTCAACAAAATATAACTGAAGGTTTGATGTGCCAAAGTGTGAAAAAAGTTCCTAACAGCTTTGAATTTTCCTGATTTTGCTTCTATCCACATTATCTGTGTTGCTTTAAACAGGACATCATGCTGGAGCAGTGGTACTGATAAAAAGCTCAACTTGTGATTTTCTTAACAGAATTAGTGAAAATGTTGAGGCTGGGAAAAAGTATATGATAGACGAATTATACAGTGATGTGCATTAAAGGTTTCTTGTGTTCTATTTGAGGGATTGTTCTAATTTCTTTCTCCTGTCTCCTTGCAGGCAGCTCCACACACCCAC